CGTTTCGACGAACGCTAGATTCTTGGAAGAAGACTATATTATAAATCATAAGCCCGCGAGTAGACTAGTCTTAGAGGAGTTAAGGGGTGAAATCGATGGTTCCCCACCGAGTGCGCAAGTAGATACATCACATAATACTGCAACACGGCACATTGAGAGTGTACTAGTGCAGACAGTGCCTCGTCGCAGTGGGAGAGTTTCTCATTTACCCGACTGATGGATAGGTCTTGGAGAGTCATCGGACTCAGCTCCAGGAGGCCTAGAATCGGACCCAAGAACTTACGATGAGGCACTCCAAGATAAAGATGCAGATTCATGGAATGTTGCAATGAAAGCTGAAATGGGGTCAATGGACTCCAATCAGGTCTGGAATCTTGTAGAACCACCCGATGGGGTACGACCCATTGGATGTAAGTGGATCTATAAGAGAAATAGAGGATCGGATGGGAAGGTACAAACCTTTAAAGCTAGGCTTGTTGCGAAAGGTTATACCCAGATCGAGGGTATTGATTATGATGAGACCTTTTCGCCAGTAGCTATGCTTAAGTCCATTCAAATTCTCTTGGCTGTAGCCGCTCATATGGACTATAAGGTCTGGCAGATGGATGTCAAGACAACTTTCCTTAATGGGAACCTACAGGAAGACATCTATATGCAGCAACCAGAGGGATTCATTGCTGAAGGTCGTGAGCATCTAGTGTGTAAGCTTAATCGGTCTATTTATGGACTGAAGCAAGCTTCGAGATCTTGGAGCATCCGTTTTGATGAGGTGATCCAGTCGTACGGGTTCACTCAATGTCCGGATGAGCACTGTGTTTACAAGAAAATCAGTGGGAGAGTGGTGGTGTTTCTTGTGCTTTACGTAGATGACATACTGCTTATTGGAAACAGTAAGAAGGAGTTGTCAGACGTAAAGGTGTGGTTGTCTAAGCAGTTTGATATGAAGGACTTAGGTGAAGCAGGACACATTCTTGGTATTAGGCTCATTAGAGACTGTAAGAAGAGAATGTTGTGCTTATCCCAGTCTTCATACATAGATACTGTCTTGGTAAGATTCAGCATGCAGGATTCCAAGAAAGGTATGTTACCTTTCAGACATGGAATACCTCTATCTAAGGAGATGTCTCCTAAAACGTCTAAGGAGATAGAGGAGATGAAGACAGTTCCTTATGCTTCGGCAGTAGGAAGTCTCATGTATGCAATGTTGTGCACTAGGCCAGATATTAGCTACGCCGTTGGCATGGTAGCTAGATATCAAAGTAATCCGGGACGGGAACATTGGTCTGCGGTGAAGCATATACTCAAGTACCTGAGAAGGACTAAGGAGTACATGTTAGTTTACCGTGCAGACAGCTTGTTACCTCTGGGTTACAGTGATTCTAATTTCCAGTCAGATAGGGATAAAAGTAAGTCAATCTCAGGTTATGTGTTTACCTTGGGAAGTGGAGCCATTTCATGGAGGAGTGCTAAGCAGAAATGCGTGGCAGACTCCACCATGGAAGCCGAGTACATAGCAGCCTCAGAGGCAGCAAAAGAGGCAGTTTGGCTCTGGAACTTCTTAGTGGACTTAGAGGTTATACCGAGTTTGCCACGTGGTATCACCATGTACTGTGATAACAGTGGAGCAGTAGCGAACTCAAAAGAACCTTGAGCCCACAGGTCAAGTAAACACATAGAACGCAAATACCATCTGATTCAGGATATCGTTGGTAGAGGAGACGTTGATGTTGCCAAGACTGCGTCAAAGGACAACCTAGCTGATCCTTTCACGAAGAGTTTGCCGGGAAAGGCCTTCGTCAAACACGTGGAAGGAATGGGAGTCATGAGCATGGCAATAGGATCGACATAGGTCTTTTAGAATAATGGATTGATAGGACTATACTGTCAAAGCGAAAGCTTTAAGTATAAGTGGGAGATTGTTAGTGTTATATACTGAAAGCTTGGCTTTGCATGTTATTATACATTTACCCTTTATGAATGAGAATCATGTTAGATTAAACAAGTTCTACGTTCTGTTGTTCTGCACTTAGATAGGGTGGGTCGTCATCGGGCGAATCGAAGATCACTCTATCAGTCACTTGCGAACAAGAATAGTTGTTCACAACCTAGATGGACATGAACACCCCATCTGAACGGTTGTAGTGTCAACTGTACAGTTTGTCTTGACTGATTAGTTGCACTAGTACATTTATGTATTGAACAGGATCCCAGAGAGGAGAAGTTCATTTTATACTGATCGTCGTAAATGAACTAGGTCTCGGTTAATTACTGCGTTCTCTTAACCCGTAAGATATTAAACATGCAAATGTATATAATATATATTACTTTGATTCACATGTGTGAGGTTCAGTTCGCTGGATTAATATTCCTACTGTTTTGGATAATATTATTATATATAGGATGTGCTGTTAGGATATTTACGGTCACCATGTCGTTAGTTTGATGATGTCCCCAGAGTGAGTTCATGAAAGATTGTTATGCTAAACCCTGCAGGTGGATTAAGTTCCGGCATAATAAGAATGTGATGAACGAGCGCTAGCTTCGGTGAAATAATAATAATATAATTAATTCTTTGTTGTCAGTAATCGAATTAATTGATGGACATTATATCTTAAACGTGGGGAGGTAAATCGAGTAATTATTATTGGAGTCTCAAATGTAATTTGGGCTAGGAAGAGGGAGTGCAATAATATAATGTTGGTGGCCCATTACTATTATTTAATTAATTAGAGGAGTGGGCTTGGCCCACAGTTAGTCTAATTAATTAAGGAGCCATTTTCCTAATCTCGTTAGGGTCCCTACTGTAGCTCTATATATACATCATTAAGCTCATGAGAAGAGAATCCCAATCTCATTCTAACGAGACACGCCCCACGCCTCTCTCTCTCTCTAGATCTCATTCGAGTTTTATCCTCTTCTTGTTGCTCCATTGGTACAAGTAGAAGAAGGGTGTATTGAGTAATACAGTAGAAGATCTGTAGGTAAACCAAGACGAAATATATTTTGACCTACAGAACTAACCGGAAGTCTGATTGAGACGTACATTATACCCAGACGACCGTCTCGACGAAAGCTTTCCATCGCCGCCGAGATTGCCGGAATCCAACGCCGCACGCGCCCTCACGCGCCGCCGGAAGCTCCCAAACTGCAAAATTTTGTTTTGATCCGTTTGATCCGGTTTTGATCTGATCTTGTTCGTACGACCCAAGACGTGATTTGCGCTCAATCAATTGCGGTCAACCATTCGTGGTAAACCAGATCTACATAAATTTTAAGCCATAAGTTCTCTACGTCAAACCTTTAGATCCGCTGCGCGTAGGTTTACGTTTGCTATTGAATTCGTGACTTGTACATAACGAGATCCTCACAGATCCCAACATTATGTAGTATGTAGCTACGTAAAATTAAAAATAAAAATAAATAAGCTTTAGATGTTTTATATTTTCTTTATCAATTGAACATAAAACAATAAGCTATCAGCAATCGAAACCAATAAGTTATTAGCAATCAAGCTGTTAGTTCTTTGTCAGTCCAAGTTCACTTTCAAACCATGTACATCAAATCCTTGGTAAAACCTACCACAGAACAAGAATGCTTAACACTATCTAAGTTTAAAACAGAGTTAAAGACAAAATGATCATCATTGCTGAATAATGCTAATTGCTAAAGCAGATAACAATTAACAACAGTATAATACCCTCTGGTCCGCACCTTCAAAAGCAGAAAACAACAACGCTAATGCTCAAATACTTTATATTAATGGCAAAAACTGAAATTCCCGACCACAAATTGCTCATTTGAGAGAAGGTTCCTATTACCTCTTGAAATTACATATTCACAGAAAAAAAAAAAAAAAAAAAAANAAAAAAAAAAAAAAAAAAAAAAATCATGTTCCCTATCAAACCTAAATCACATATTTTTAACAGGTAAGAGTGTAAGACGTGGAAACATACATCCTCGAAGCTATGACCGTGAGCTCATGACAAGTTCGCCTCGCACCGATGGGCGATGGCTACTGGTGTCAGACAGATGGCCATGGAGGAGTCACGAGTGGCGACGGGCCGATGGCGACAACGATAGGATGTGGGAGATGGCGATGGGGCGATAGAGATGGGTGGGCTAGGGTTTTTTTTATTATTTTAGGGGCAAAGAACGGGAGAAGAAAAAAGAATGAATTTGGAATTTTGGAATGTTGAATTATTGGATTAGAAAATGTGGATTTGTCATAAGTGGAATGAAATTGTTAAATGACCAAATGCACCCTCTAGGCAACCATGCACCTCTAAGGGCTATTTAAGTAAATTTAATATATATCGAGCTGCTCGTGCAGCCGCTCGCAACTAAAAAAATGGGGCTCTTAAGCTCAACTCGAGTGCTCGCGAGTTGCTTGAGTTGTTGCAACCTTAATTCAGACCCAATGACGATTAACTTGGTCGGACCAAATTGAGTGGTGAAGCTAAATATGAATTTTAACGTTAGGAATTTTCGTTATGATAAATATAATATAGTCCAAATAATCAAATCTTTGATACTTTTACCATGAGATGTTCAATAATATATGATTCGTACTTTATTTTATTAATATTTATGTGAACAAAATATTAGTGTACTATAACTTTTAAGGCCTTTAGTGTGATAGAATTCGTGAGAGTTTTATATACAAAATGTGTAGAAGAAGGCCCTTAGTGCTCGACTACACAACTTATCGCTTAGAATCAAGGCGTCGGCACGAGTTCGAAGCAGTCAAGATGCACGAATCTTCATCAACGCCTCTCTCGGCCTCTCGAGTGTCATAGGCTTCCAACCCCACGTGTTGTTCCGTGGCTCGAGCATGACATAAGAAGTGTCTCTTACTCACAGGACGTTTGTCTCTAATCGCTCGCAAGCACCTACCTCTCTTTGTACCAAAAAAAGAACTCGTATTTAAGTAAAGATAAAATAATAAATATAAAAAGGTATACAAAATATAAAGAAAAATAAAGGTATGCAGAAATTATTATTATAAATAAAATATGTAAGTAGTCGGGTCATTACTTCCCCGTTTTCACTTACATCCGGACTTGGGTCGGGTTGCATCTGCCCGGGTCTACTGCTATCTCTTCCCCATGATTGCATAGAGCTCCACCTTCAGCAATTGAATAAACCCTAATCCCCAATTATCTATCAATTTCCCCGAAGCAATTGATCTTGGCAGAATCTCCGAGCAGTTAGTTTCGGCTTCATTCTACGGGTATTATTGCCATCTCTATTGACTCGCTTTGCATGCGTATAAATGGCAGATATACATATACTTTTCTTACAGAACTCGTAGCTGTATACGTATTTCTCCACGGTAATATGGGGGTTCTAGGTTGGGCGTAGAGTAAGTTTTTGTGCATGAGCGAGCTGATGTTTCTGAACGCGTTTAGGGCGCGAATTCTGTTTAACTTTAAATATGACGGTAAAAATTAGGGTTCGTGACGTAATCCATTTCCGATTTTCTTACATTTTTTTTTCAAACCTTGACTTGTTCGAACTGTTATGGAGAATGCAATGCTCTATGATTCCACTGATCAATTGCTGAAATTGGTTCTCTTTCCCTTTTCTTTCCACTTGTTAAATGTGATGTATTAGTGCAAGGGAAGGGGCAGCAACGTGGGTAGTGGCAGGCAGAGAGAGGACTAGTTGTGTGAACTGGGAGATGAGTTGATGCTATGAGTAGGCTATCTATCAGGCCTCGGCCCCTTGACATTAACAAGAAGCTCCCAATTGTGAAATCCGTGAAGGATTTTGAAGATGATGACATCCCATCTTCCACACGTAACTCCCAGATACTCCGACTTGCTGCAGAGGCTGATAATGAGGTCAGTGTTTATATCGTCTGACAACTATGAATGTGAATTAGCCCCCTAGGCCTGTCTTTTTGCTCACATATCTTTTACAGCAAGACATTTTTCTTTTCATTGTGGTTAGTTTGATGGAACCGGCGGTGGAACAACACCAGACGGTTGGAATGATAGATGGCCATTTAGTTAATCTATTACCTAGTTTTGAGGTTAATATATTTGGTTGACACACTATTATTATTTTACTAAAATTATGAATGCGTTTATATCCCACCATAGGTAGTCAATGACTCAGTGTACATTCCATTTTACTTCATCATGTTATTATGCCAATTTATCTGGATGAAAAGAAAAATACCTGTAGGCTATGGGTCTTAGATTTAATATATATTTTTTTTTCCTAAACCTTTTACTGGAAAGTGTTATACATGGAAACCAATTATCTTACAGGATCAATATGTCCATTTCATGTGGCATGATGGACACATATATTGCTCATGAAGGACCCAAATGAGAAGAGTTCCTTCAGTTGCAATTTGTTTGTAAATTACTTTCGTCATTGTGACTGCGAACCTAAAATAAATGTATGTATATAGGCTCACCAAGGATACAAGGTAACTGAACTTACTGGTTTTCTGTAATAATGGCATGTTGATGCCCGACTGATGTAGCATTAGAAACTGAGTGGATACTGTTTCTTCATGCTGTTATCATATCTTTGTTAGATCACAAATTGAGTTGATTGTTAATGAGGACCTTAATCTTTGGACAAGTGAGTTCTGAAAACTGAGTGTATTTGTGGCTTTTCCTATTTTTTGATGTATGTGTGTGAACTGTCAAGTTGAATGTGTTTAGCTAATGAATTGGTGAAAGCTGAATAATGTTTATAACATTTAACGAAAATCGTACTTATAAATTCATAGGTACAGCATGTACCAGGCAAGAAAGGTACTTCAGAAATACCTACTCCCGAGTTTGTGATTGTGGACACTTATGAAAGGGATTATTCCCGTACCTTCTCCCAGACGACATCATACTTACGTGCGAGGGGAGGTCAGTCAAGTGGAGTCTGATTTTTTTTTTTTTTTTTTTTTTTTTTTTTAAAGTCGGTTGATTATGCATTACAACTAATTGATGTTGCTGACAGCGCGAGCTGAAATTGGAGAATTTATTGAGTATGATCTGGATAATGAGGACGAAGATTGGCTTCAAGACTTCAACAAAGAAAGACAGACTCTTGCTGCTGAGAAGTAATAATTTTTAGAGTTTTATCAGTGCAGTGCAGACTGCAGATAGGTCAACTATCAATTTAGGATCCCAAATAAATTAATTAACAATTTGGGACCTGAATCATCTTCAACTGTCAAATTAAGATCTCAAGACTTAACACTGTTGAAACTTTGACGGAAAAATTAAGATCTCAAGACTTAACACTGTTGAAACTTTGACGGAAGTTTATACAAACAAGTTCCTCTTTTAACTACTTTTCCATCATAATACCTATCTTCTCATTACCCACTCACTATGGATCTGCTTAATATATATGATCATACTGGTGCATTTATTGGTTTTGAAGAATTGATAAATATATAGCATTCGATATACTGAGCTTCTGGGAAGCCTGTCCTTTGAATTCTTCATGAACCAATTCCCTGAGATTTATCTTGAAGAAATTCATTCTCTGACATTTATGAATGAAATAAAAATTATTTTCCATTTGAGGTTGAATATGATTACTGAAATATAGCTCTTTATTGACGGGAGAAAGATGTAAAGGGGTGTATTGGAGGAAAATTATATTGGGGATGTTACAGATGTTGATGGAGTTGACGATATTTTGGTGAAGTTTTTTCGCGATATAATCAAAGAGCAAAAGAGAAACTGGTATCTCCATTAAAAAGACCAAGAGCTGTTAGTTTTTTTGGGCCTTCAATTGATAGTTTTAAATGATCCAGTGCCCGAGTTGATACAAATTTTCTTCCGGGTCGTACATTGATAGTTGACCTATCATTTAGGTCTTGAATCAATAAAACTCCATAATATTTCTATTTTTCGTACCTTATTGGCGGAGTATTGTGCGTATTGCATTTGCGTTTGTAGTTTCACTTCATCATTTATCAGAAGTATGTTGAATGTCCTTACACTTTTATTGTTTATTTCTTAAATATTAAAAGCAGCTTTTTTATAATAAAATTCTCGAATCTATTGCTGTTCTTTGACATTCTAACATAAATACTCTATATTCATTTGTTCATATCTTTGGTATGTGAGTGATTTCTAATATGCATGTTACAAAATTCTTGCTATTTTTGGGATGCGGGGGAGGTTGGGGAACTTGATTATTGGATATGAGTACTTTCATTACGTTTGGGTTCTACTTTCTTCTTGCACTACTTATTCTCAGATCATTTGATTCTGGTGCAGATTAGAAACAATTATTTTTAAGTTGGAGGTTTTAGATCATAAAGCTCGCGAAAAAGCAGGTGTTATAACTCCAACACTTGGCTCCCCTATTCCGGTGCTTTTAACCTTTGATGCTGCTGTTGAGGTGAGATTCACATTTATGATTTGGTTACCAAATTTTCAATTGTGTTTCAGCATTTCATGATTTTGTGGTTTGTATTTTCTTTCTTTTTAATAATTTCCTTTTTTGGCTTTAAGAAGTAATTTTGTGCTAAGTTCTAATTGAAATACATCTCACATCTTTTTAGCTTGCCTGATGGTGCACATTGCTCAACTAATTCAATCCTATTGGGACGCTTGTGGTGTCAGCAGATTTATTATCATGCATGTCTTTTTTTAGATTCTTGACATTGTTTATCTTGTTCTACATAAGATCTTTGTGTTAAGATTGGATCAACTTTTTTGGTATAGGTGATGTTTCTTGTGGTGAGTATTATATGGGTATAAAATATACACTACACACTGGCTACAAGTTATGAGTTGAGTGAAACAATTCCATGATAAATTGGTAAATTATATACCAGGAAAGCCTCTTGCGGCTAGAAGCTTGAGGATCACACAACTTTGTTTGAGGATAAGGTCAACATCATTGTATGTTACATATATTTTCGTCTTAATGAAACCTTCGCTTGTTTGTCCCTAAACGCTTTTTTCTTTTTAAGTTTTTGAAATGGACAGAAGGCATAGTATTTTGATAAGTGGATTATTTATGATGGTTAATAAGGCATATTCTTCAGAACTTTAGTGTATGTGAATCGGAGCCAGAGGTGGGTCCTTGTGTTTAAAGGTTTTAGTGACATGCACTATGTAAATCAGTTGGGGGGTATCATGATTTCGACAATGTTCATTTTCACATAAGTATCATGTGTTTGTAATCTTTATTGTAACTTTTATTTTTATTTATTTTTTATTTTTTTATTTTGAGTCGTGAGTGGGGATCATTATATAGATTTGAAATCGTTATTGTGGCTGACACGTGCCTTTTCATACTATGTTCTGCTTCATTTGGGTCTTGTTATGTGTTTTTATTATAATCTCCTGACCATACTTTGACTTACATGCTAGGCCTTACAAGCTTTGTCCATCAAATATGGAGTTTTCCAGTCTATTTACAGTTACTGGAAGGAAAAGGTATGCATAAGCTTCATTGAATTGATTTGACATTGGTAGCGCGATTACCTTTAAACAGTCTATCATTTTTCCCTCTAGTATCTTATATGGCACTTTGCAACTTTAGCCTCTATATTCTCACCTTCCTCTTTTGGTGGATGCTAGTTCGTTATTGAACATAGTTATCTTTCTGAAAAATGGGCCATAAATTTCTTTTGGACTCAAGCTCCCTAACTTTTTAGCCAATCAGATGCATGATGAGCATCAAATCAATAGTGTGGTTATGTGCAGAATGACAATTTAGGTTATTTTCTCTAGTTTAGATGACTTTGAACAGAATCATTGAGCATGATGAGCATTGTGTTCGAGATCTTCTACTTAGTCAGAGAGTATCAGGGACAACATAGACTGGTATTACATATTGAGTTGGGGGTGGCATTAAGGTGCATTTTGTTGTTGATATAGCTTTCTGGTTAATAGCCACTTTTGCTGGTCGGAGATATAATTTCATTGGAAACAAATTCTCGTCTAAATTTTTGCCATTCTTTCTCTTCGCTTTTTTCTCTTACAGCGCGAACGATGGCAAAAACCTGTCCTTCGACGTTTGCAGGTTTGTATATTCAATTATTTGATTGGTGTTTCTATACAAGTTTTGGTTAAATGCAGATTTTCAGATTAAAACTATGGGCAAGGTTCTTGGTTGTCTTTCAGGCTTCCACTCCATACATGCCGTGAAGATATAGGAAAATCACTTTACTCAAAAAATAAAAAAGGAGAATAACCGTTTAACATAGATCAGTTTACCGTGTTGGTGGTTATCTAGCTTTCGTTTTACATTTGTCGCTTCAATTTAAATGCTGTTAGTTGCAGCAAGTTTGAACCTCGATTTATTTTCTCCGTTTCATAGCTCTTAGAGTTGTACTTGGCAACTTTGCAAACATGTGGTACTCAAGTCCAAGTCATGTAAAGGATTATTTCTAGTGTAGTAGTTTTAGCTTCTAATAACTGTCCTTGCGACTTATTTTCAGCCACCTCCACCAGTTAATGACACCAATCCTTTCAATGTCTTCAGACCAAGGGAGAAAGCTCATAGGCTTCACACGAGAAGGGTATGAGATAATTATTGACCATTATCATGTACATGGTTTGATCAAGTTTATATAAATATCTTGCATTAATTTCTGGGTGCTGAAATTGTCTATTATGGTAAATTTGTAATTTTTCTTATTTTTAATCAGATGCAAAGAAGGGAAAACAACGTGCAATCATTTGAAAAGCTTCGCCAGGTGAGCTTTTATCTTTTAATCGATGAACACCCACATATCTTTTTTTTCTTTTCCTTCCAAATGAAGTGTGCTTGATGTGGTTTAAATTGAAAATTTTATCGATTTTCTTTTTATATAGAACAGGAAATACAAGAATTTAATGTGTGGATATTAGGACGGTTAACTACTTAGCATTAGGATGATTACAACCTTGGATCAAACATTACTGTGTTACTTCAGCCATTCATTATTTTCGGGCTTTATAAAATTTGAATGATGGGTTTAGTATATTTTTGAAGCATTACTTGTTCTTCTTGCTTCTTTTGACATGAAAACATCTTATTGCTTCTTTTGAGATATAGCATTAATCTATTGGATAATTATATAAAACCATATACCCGATGCTCTAATTGGCATAATTGGTTGTTTAATGTTCAATGCCTCATCTTGCCTCTATTTTATGTGATACTTTTTAAGAACATTGTGATATTCCCCCCCATTGGATTTTACTTTGCAAGTGAAAGTTCAACATATGCGTTCGTAGTCCACTAAAATGTTAATGGGTGAGCATGACTCGGTTTGGTAGATTTAGAAATCTCCCGAACTGAATTGAAAAGTGGGACCACCAAAATTTAATTTCTGGAATGGAACAAAAAATTAGGACAGTTTGGTGTGGATATTTTGATATTTTAGTTTAATTTGGTTTGGAGATTCGGGACTTATCAAAAAGGTTCTATTCATACGTAGATTTATGATTATTAGTTTCAATCATTTTTTCCCAAATGAATATCTAGTTATATTTAAATTTTGATTTGATTTTCTAAATTCCAATTTATACATATTTAATCTTATTAAAAAATTTGTTATGAAATCAACCTTGAAAAATTGGAATGAATTATAGATTTAATGAAGCCTAAAATTTGTGCAAACTAGTGGTGGAAATTTAAACTCCTAATTAAATGTAATGTGATTTTGTAAAATTATTTGTCTAAATTTTCATACCATTTTAACTATAAGATGGAATATAATTAAACTTATGGAAAATGAAAAATAAAAATGATTTTAGTACAAGCATTATTCAATATCAAATTTATGCTTTGTTGAATTGCTATTACCATATGTTACTAAATATTTTGAAAACATTAAAATAATCTAGGATTGAAGTGGTCATAAAATCAAGGGACTAGCTATGTACAAAGTTATTTTGTTATTCGGTTTGGTATTCTATGATACTGTTTGGTTTGGTCCTCGATATGAATATTGTGAAATCTCCATAATCATAACAATGATTTTTTTTTTTTGTTCGATTCTGTTCGAAGAACGTCAAACAGTCAGCGGTTATCTTTCGGTACAAAATGATTTTGGTTCGGTTTTAGGATGGTTCAATATTCTCCGAGTCTGGTGTTCAGCCCTAGTTTTTTCACTCCAAACTGAATACAAGCTTTATTGGATTTTATGGTGTGGGTCTTTTAGATCTTTTATTCGGAATTTTTTGTGGATACAAGGTCAACATTGTGGTAATCACCCCATATTTTACATTGTATGAGAAAGAATTTCCATTGCCTTTCATTGAGCCTCCAGGATATTTGTTAAGCTATGGTTTGCTTGTAAATATCAAGAATAATGATACTTTAACATAATGGTTGACATAATTGACGTGAGAGTAGTAGTTATTGATTTTAAAGTTGTTGTGATGCGTAAAAACCACAAGATCCTGCCATGTGTTGTATTATGTCAACCTTTATGGCATTCATAAGTTTGAGTAGCATGGTCCAAAAATAAACGAGTCTACTCTACTGCCTGCACATATTTCATGGTTGGCTACCCTAATATACTTCCCTTTCTCTTTCCTAGAAATTAGTCAATTCAAGGAGTAACGCTTGAGACACTATCAAGAAAGGAACTCCGTACTTTTATTAAAAATTCTGAAATTCCAATATGGATCTCTATTGTGTTTATAAAGACGCTGTCTTAATCACGTCATATTGTTTTTAATTTACTTCCCCCAGGTCAGGCGCAACCTTGACCAAGCGAAGAACATTCTCGAGGCTCTGATCAAGGTATTGCAACTTTTCGACTTTTTAAGATGTGGCTCTGGATACTTTTGGAATGATGACCCCTCATTCCTTTTATCATGTTTCTTTGTAGAGAGAGGAGAAGAAACGAGAACTTATTGAGAGTGAGGTCACCCTCCAAAGAGTTCAATTGAAGTACAAGGTTTGCATCATTATCTCAATGTACTATGTATGACACAGAAATGCATGTGGCAGTGTCTGCATACTGTAACCAGATAGCTGGATATGAATGGGAATTACATTTCAAGTTTGTGAAGAAGTTACGATTTCAGAATTGGAACTTTTGATTGATCAAAATTTGAAATTAACCTTTGATGATTTAGTCAAATAACGACATACAAAGATTGAGGCTGGAATTGTATTGTTACTACATCTTAAGTGGTCTTAAACTTTAAAGAGATCTCTATTGTGTATAATGTTGCATATGTTACTGTTAGTTTATTAAGCAACTGATTTTAGAACACTGTCAGCATGAAACCCAGCTCCTCGAGGACTCTTTGGCCTTACCTGGAATGCCGTCCTTCCCAAGCAAGGCTGCATCAAGTGAGGAGGAGTTCTTTGATTCTGATGATGTGGCAACAAACAGTCGACCACACAGTCGACAATTTGTGGTGCGAAATGAGTCAAAGCGGGTGATGGTCCCGGCAGGAAATGGTAGGCAGGAGGCAAGAAGACGAGTTTCTCGTAGTTGGCTTCATAAACTGGTGCTGTTCTATTTCATCTTCCTTTAAGTTAATTTATTCCCGTCTTTCAACTTGCTTCATAACCGAATTGCTAGCCTGATTGTAAAGTGCTCCATTTTCTCTTGGATATAAGGTGTATGTTTGGATGCACTTTTGTAATGGACTTTTGACTATAAAAGTCCATTTACTATATAAAAAGATGTTTGGTGCAAATAAAAAAATGGACTTTTAAAAAAGTAACTCCCATAAAAAGTCCATTTCAAAGAAGTTTACATTGAAAACTTCTTGCGAAGTCACTTTTCAAAAAGTTCATTTTAAAATGAACTTTTCTCAATAAGTGTTTCCAAACAAGCCCAAGATATTTTGATTTTGTTTGGATTTTTTGGTTTGATATGGTTAATTTTGAAAAAAATGGTATGGTTAGTTGTTAGTGGGATTTTGAGTTTGTATTAAAATAAAATAATTAAAATTGATTTGATGTAAAAGTAGGAGAGATGATGTGAAGTGATGGTTAGTTAAAATTATGTGAGTGGATGAATAGTGAACTAAAGAATGTGTAAGAATAATTGAGTGGTATTATTTAATCATATTGATAATATTGAGGATAGTGGGGTTCAGTTAAAGTTGAGTTAGATTTGAGTTAAAAAAAAAAAAAGTGATTGGTTAAAAATGATTGGAATTTTTCAGAAAAATTTGTATCCAAGCATCCCATTAACACCCCTTTCTAAGTGTTACAGATGCCCATTGTATTTGCCCAAGTACCCAAGTGCGCAACTAACTTTAATAATCATTTAAGTAACCTTTTTACAATTTGGGGTATGAAAATGAATGCTCCAGTAACATATGCTTATATGTAACATTGTGCATCCCTTATACGATTGTCTAACTTGACATATGTTTTGATTTGATGCAGGATCCGAATGAGCCAGTTCTGCTTTTCACAAAACCCTTACTTCCAGATAAATTATCTGCTGCTGGAATAATTCCTCCTCCTTCACCAGATCCTTTAACGACCAATGGCCTCAAAACCCGCTCGTTTAACTTCCACGGGAGGATCGGACGAGGTGGCAGAATCGTGTTCGACCGATGGAATCCCCTAATGCAAACCCCAGTCGAATGTGGTGACACTTCATATGTCCCACCCAAACCACGGCATTCATCACATCATTGATAGAGATAGATAAAGTTGTGTTTCTAATCATGTCCCCACTGAAAATTTCGTAAGCAAACGTGTCCTTGTTTTTTTTTTTTTTTTTTTNTTTGGGCTTGGATGGTGTTAGGCTGAGATATGAGATATGGTTACATTGGGGCACGAGTATAGGGGACGTGAAAAGCTACTTGTGCTGAAGGGTATTTGTGCAAGGATAGTGTATTCTCTCATATGGCATGTGATTGGACAGGAAGGAAAATCTTATGTGATGTAGGTCTGAGGTTATGATATGCAATTTGTCTGTATGTTTTATGTTTAAGATGGGAAGGGTAGATTTGGTAGATTTTCACAATTTATTGCTTCCTATTTGTAAATGGAGAAAATCAAATGAATCCACTGTTGTGGTTTGAAGGGAAGAAATTGATGTAAGAGAAGTTTTGCTTTTACAACAACGCGAGTGGCAGAATATATCGAGGCTTTTTTTTAAGGTTTCGTGAGTATAGGATTTGAGCCTGGAAATCTTGCCTAAAACCTTAATTTTTCCCTATGTTTAGGGAAATGGGTTTCAAATATAGATCATTGTAATACATTTGAAAAGGGTTCATCATGCCACTTGAGCTAGAACACTTAAATAATTGACAAGGGTATATTAGATTTGTAGGGTTTTTTTTTTCAACGTCAATTATATTAATAGCTTAAAAACTTAAAAGAGTACACCCGAAGTGTTAAATGACACACTGGAACCAGAAGACTGGACCAACCCCCCTTGTCATCACACACAAGGGGGTACAAACTCCATCAAGGAGGCGAACAACCACAACACAAAAACAAAAACACAGACTCCATACCAACCCCCCTTGTCATCACACAAGGGGGTACAAACTCCATCAAGGAGGCGAACAACCACAACACAAAAACAAAAACACAGACTCCATAAAGGAGAGAAAAACAGACCCAGCTACACTCAAAGCAGACATAGCTGCACTAAACAAACCAAAACAACAAAATAAAAACAAAAAACAACTCACACCTAATAAACAAATAAAATAAGACCTCCCCTAATCCAAACAGGCGAGCTAAACGACTACCTTACCGACCCCCGAGCTCCCACCACACCGCAACTAAAAGCACAACAAAGCCACAAACCTAAAGCCCGAACCCAGAAACTGCGGACAACCGCCTAGACAGATCCGGCGAGGAGGCCGTTCTCACTTCAGATCTGGGCTCCGAAAGACTTCAGCGACGACAAAGAAAGGAGGAGTCGCCACGAACACACTGGGGAGCTCGAAAAATAAGACCAGAGGAAGGACCACCCACGGCCAAACCCGGACGAGCACCAGCAGCCCGGCCACACAGCTGACGGGCAGGCTGCGGCCTACATGGAGAAATTCTAACCATAGTCGGGCATCCACTCCCTTCCTACAGGATTCACGGTGACAGTGCACGAGTCTGATTCCGACAAAGCGGCAACCCCTACGGCTGGATCCAGAAAGCGGCGGCGGTGCCCCCTCCGCGGCTGTGGACACCGAACGGCGAGACCCGCCGCCGATCGGGTTTCCTGTCAAGCTCTGGGGGGCTAAATAGTTGGAACCAGTCGTTGCCTCGGTCCGGCAGGCTTGATGGCCGAAGCAACTCGCTGGTGGAGAAGGGGGGGGCGACAGAAAGATAGATATGGTTTTGAATTTTTGAGAGAGATAGGGTTAGAGAGCGGCGTAATTATTGTGATTCCACGAAACAAGTGGGCTTCACTACTCTTATCAGAGTTGTAGGTTCAATGTTGCATGTTTCTAGATATGGTATGTGAAATAGTAAGATTCTTTTGTATGTTCTCAAAATTTGTTTGTATTTTACTCAGTGTATTATGTTAAATTCAGCCATGCACATTAAAATTCCTCGAGTTAGTTTACTTTTTCGGAGAGGATACTTTCTTTATTCAATGTAGAAGAAAAGAGATGGTTTTCACTTTATCAGATGTAAATAATGTAATTCAAACCCTGGACAAACATGCGCACTATTTGACACGTGTCAATAAGAGGTTGGATACTTCATGCTTTTTTGTGTAAATGTGTCATAGGTTTAGTACGATTACTTTTAAAAAACGAGTATCAGTTAAAGGTACAAATGTTTTAAACTGGGTATCAAATACACGGGAATCCTACGAACTGATAAGTATTTTTCAGTTCTTACAAATAATCTAAAAAATAGAAAATGATAATCGAACTGAAAAATAAATTAAAACTTAAAAAAAAAAACAAGACGGAAAGATTTTAGCCGAGGCGAGTAAAACTCTTTCCGCAAGAAGAATACGCCCCGTGTGGCAGCTAACGGTTTAGGCATAACTTCCCCAAAGATACAACGGCAAACGTCTCTAAATCTGTAGCACACCAGATTTAAAAGCTCCGGCGAACTGGAACGGAGTCGAGAATTGGGCACTTAAAAATAGGAATAAGAATATCACTCTTTTGTTATTTCGATAACAAATAAATATTTCTATATTTTTCCCTTTGATATTTTTATCCATTTAAAATTATTTTTATACCTCTAATTTTACTTTCCCTCTTTCTTTCTTTCCTTTTCTCTTTCTTTTCTTATGTGATCTTTCTCCTCTCCGAGTATCCCTATTTATAGGGAGAGATACCTATTTATAGGGAGAGATACTATAGATAATGCCTGGCCATGAAAACCAGTTAACGCCTCATAAACATTATTAAGACAAATTGACTAGTTTTTTATGAATAAGTGGACAACTTGCAAGGAATCTTCACGTAGTGAATTGATCTGTCCAAATTGGTCATTGGGGAACAAATCCAAGTGGATGGGTCCCACTTAAAATTTTCACTCAATTCTTACAATCCCCCCATGAGTGGAAATTTAATGTACAAAAGTTATTGTGCTCAATCCTCACAAAACTCTACTGCATCAGAAAAGGTAGCTTTTGATTTCCACGAAACTGCACCTCCTCCAATACAGAAAACATATCCGCTAGTGGAGCGAAAATCTCTCGAATCTGATATCCAGCTTGCATCACAGTACCCTTCAAGTATGGCTGGATACCTCGAGTATTTTAGCCTGTACTCAAGACTGTACCTTAAGTACTTAAGTACCCTTCTCAAAGCATTCCAGTGCTCATGACTGTGATTACTTGTAAATCTGCTCAACTTACTCACCGGATAGGCCAAGTCTGGTCGTGTACAATTTGTCAAGTACATCAGACTCCCTATTATCCGTGAATATTCCAACTGAGCCACTGGTTGACCTTTATTAGCCACCAGATTTATACTAAGATCAAGGGGCGTCTTACACCTAGACTGTGCACCGTCATAGGCATTAAATTTCTTGAGCACTTTCTCCACATAATGAGATTGAGACAAGACAATTCCATCTTGGGTTCTGATAATTCTTATTCCAAGAATAACATCAGCCAAATCCATATCTTTCATGTCAAAATTTCTCTTCAACATACTTTTCGTATCCATGATCACTTCATGGCTACTCCCCATGATCAACATATCGTCTACATATAGACATACAATCACAAATGTATTTGATGTATTCTTGACATAAACACATTTGTCACATTCGTTGATTTTGAAACCATTTGACAACATCACATCATCAAATTTCAAATGCCATTGTTTCGGAGCTTGTTTCAGTCCGTACAAGGATTTGATCAATCTACACACCTTTCGCTCTTGTCCAGGTGCAACAAACCCTTCAGGTTGTTCCATGTATATTTCTTCTTCTAATTCACCATTCAAAAATGTCGTCTTGACATCCATTTGGTGAATCTCAAGATTGTGCAACGCAGCAATCGAGAGAAGCACCCTTATCGACGCTAAACGCGTAACTGGTGAATAGGTATCAAAGAAACCATACCCTTCCTTTTGTTTAAAACCTTTGACTACCAATCGTGCTTTAAACTTATCAATCGATCCATCAGCTTTATATTTCTTCTTTAGGATCCACTTGCATTTTAAAGGTTTACAACCATCAGGGAGGTCAACCAACTCCAAAGTATGATTTTGTATAATGGACTCGATTTCGCTATTTACAGCTTCTTCCAAGAGTGGTCCATCTGGGCTGGAAAGAGCTTCCTTAAGGGAACTCGGTTCATCGTCCAACGTGTACGTAATAAAATAAGGTCCAAACGTTTTCGCCGTTTTTAATCTTTTACTACGTCTCGGTTCTTCATCAGTACCCTCTGGTACAGAACCACTAGCAGTTTCATACGTTCGTTTATTAGAACTAGATTCTGCTCTTTCCTTTAGAGGAAAAATATTCTCAAAGAATATAGCATTCCTCGACTCAATCGTGGTACCAACAGATACCTCTGGATTTTCTGATTTATGAACCAGAAATCTGTATGCTGTACTATTGTACGCATATCCAAAAAATACACAATCGACCGTCTTTGGCCCGATTCTCATTTGTTTGGGTTCAGGAACTGAAACCTTAGCCAAACACCCCCATACTTTCAGTTATTTATAAGACGGCTTACGATTTTTCCACATTTCGTAAGGAGTATCATCTTTCCCTTTAAGTGGTATTTTATTCAGGATATGATTTGCTGTTAAAACAGCTTCCCTCCACATGTTCTGTGGTAATCCTGAATTTATCAACATGGCATTCATCATTTCTTTTAAAGTACGGTTCTTGCGTTCAACAACACCGTTCGACTGTGGAGAATAAGGGGCCGTCGTTTGATAAATTATGCCATATTCATAACATATTTGTTCGAAAGGAGCTACATACTCCCCACCCGTATCACTTCGGATTATTTTAATCCTTTTTCCAAGTTGATTTTCAACTTCGTTCTTATATATCTTAAAAGCTTTCACAGCCTCGTATTTGCTTCTTAATAAATATAAGTAGCAAAATCTTGTGCAATCATCGATAAAAGTAATAAAATACTTTTTACCCGTTCTTGTTTGCACACTTTTCATATCACATACATCAGTATGGATCAAGCCTAATGGTTCAGTACTCCTTTCCACTGAGTGAAAAGGCAACTTAGTCATTTTTGTTTCAATACAAATCTCACATTTCTTATGTGATTCAATTTTAGAATTAGGAATTAATTTTAAATTCATCAACCGTTTAATTGCATTTAGATTTACATGTCTCAATCTAATATGCCATAAATCAGAGTACTCAACGGTATAAACAGAAATAGGCTTTTCATTATCATTTAAAACGGTTACACGGCTCACGGCCATTACATTCATTTTGAACATACCCTTGTCGAGATAGCCACGAGCAAGGAAAGTTCCAAACTTGCTAAGAACAAATTTCTTAGCATCAAATAGCAGCCTAAATCCATGCTCAACAAGAAGAGATCCGGAGACCAAATTCTTGCGGATGTCTGGGACATGCAGAACATCCTTAAGCTTCAACTCTTTTCCAGAAGTCAGCTTCAGCACCACAGTGCCCACTCCAGCCACATCAGCCGTGGCTGAGTTTGTCATGTAAAGTTTCCGACTCTTAGCAGGAGTGTATTCAGAAAACATCTCCTTATCGGAACACACATGACGAGTGGCACCAGTATCGATGTACCACTCCCTTGGGTTATCCACCATATTGGCTTCAAACACCACTGCCGACATATCAAAGTCGGTCAGTTCACTTGGCACAGGGCCTTGTTCAGCCACAAGGGCACTGGGTTGCCCTTTCTTTGGCCCAGCCTTCTTTGGCCTCTTGCAGTCGTTTGCCATATGGTTGGGCTTTCCACAGTTGTAGCAGGTTCCAGTAAACTTCCAAACCTTGGCAGGCTGCTTCCCTTTGTCAAGGAACTTCCTCTTGCTCGAGTGGCCTTGCTCCAGCATGTTAGCACGAGCCTCTATCATTGGAGTCTTCGCCGATGAATTACGGTTGTCCTCCTCAATACGAAGACGAACAACCAGGTCTTCAAGACTCATCTCCTTCCTCTTATGTTTGAGGTAGTTCTTGAAGTCTTTCCAACCCGGCGGCAGCTTTTCAATCACAGTTGCAACTTGGAATGACTCGCTTATAGACATTCCTTCAGCATGGATATCGTGCAAGATAAGTTGAAACTCTTGCACTTGAGACACGACGGTCTTAGAGTCGACCATCTTGAAGTCAAGAAACTTGCCGACGACGAATTTCTTCGCCCCGACATCCTCAGTCTTGTACTTCTTCTCCAAAGTAGCCCAAAACTCTTTGGCAGAACCAACCGAGCTGTATACATTGTACAACTCATTACTAAGTCCGTTCAGGACATAGTTACGGCAAAGGCAATCACCTTGCCCCCAAGCTTCGTACGCAGTGCGTAGTTCAGCATTTGTCTCATTTTCAGCAATAACCGGGGGGTCGTCCTTCAGGTATTTCACCAAACCCAAAGTGGTCTGGTAAAAATGCATCTTTTGTTGCCACCTTTTAAAATCAAGCCCATTGAATTTTTCGGGCTTCTCAACAGTAGGGACATGGACACCAGGTACATGATTGATCGGATGCTGAGTGTTGGAACCATTTCCGGTGGATGCCATCAGTCCAGTAGGTTGAGAAATTCTTCTTGCGATTGTTTTAAACTGGGTATCAAATACACGGGAATCCTACGAACTGATATGTATTTTTCAGTTCTTACAAATAATCTAAAAAATAAAAAATTATAATCAAACTGAAAAATAAATTACAACTGAAAGATAAATTAAAACTTTAAGAAAAAAAAGCAAAACGAAAAGATTTTAGCCGAGGCGAGTAAAACTCTTTTTGCAAGAAGAATACGCCTCGTGTGGCAGCTAACGGTTTAGGCGTAACTTCCCCAAAAATACAACGGCAAACGTCTCTAAATCTGTAGCACACCAGATTTAAGAGCTCCGACGAACTGGAACGGAGTCGAGAATTGAGCACTTAAAAATAGGAATAAAAATATCACTCTTTTGTTATTTCGATAACAAATAAATATTTCTATATTTTTTCTTCTGATATTTTTATCCCTCTAAAATTATTTTTATACCTCTAATTTTACTTTCCCTCTTTCTTTCTTTCCTTTTCTCTTTCTTTTCTTCTGTGATCTTTCTGCTCTGCTGAGTATCCCTATTTATAGGGAGAGATACTACAGATAATGCCTGGCCATGAAGACCATTTAACGCCTCATAAACATTATTAAGACAAATTGACTAGTTTTTTATGAATAAGTGGACAACTTGCAAGGAACCTTCACGTAGTGAATTGATCTGTCCAAATTGGCCATTGGGGAACAAATCCAAGTGGATGGATCCCACTTAAAATTTTCACTCAATTCTTACAACTAATCCGGGAGTTTTTCTATATTTACATTTAAATTTATTAAAAGAAAATTTCTAAATATAATGCTCACACGCAGTTGAATAAATCTATCCAAATTTTTTTTATCAAAATGACTACAATCATGAACTTTTCTTTATTTTATTTTTACCAGACTTCTATTTCCTCATTTGATCGAATCCGCACCTCCATTTAAATTTAAGTTGAACTTCTCCCTTTTTTTTAAAAAAAAAAATCTCCCTTGATACATACTCATCTCAGTCATAAACCAAAATGACTTTCAACTTTTGGAAAGCTCAACAAGCTATATATGTCTGCACATTCTATTATAATGTAGCCGTTTGTGAGCTCTACACCCTACTGAATAAAAAATCCCATTCTCACACTGACCACATACAAAGCATATATATAAATCCAACTTCAAAGAGCTAAAAACATAAATATTCATGAGGTACAACTCTAACAAAATAATACCAAGAGAGTGGCTGTTCTATCAAGTATAGCTGCCAACTACAACACTATTTGCCCGCCAATAACCTCGGCTTCAAGTAAGCAAAAAGAGGGGATAGAACACCTGAACTCTTCTCCTTTTCGAACTCTTGCTAGAAATTGGTAAAAACTGAGAAGTGAGAAGAAGTCCTTACCATCCGTAGGCACAAAATATTTATGCAGCCCAGTGCTAAAACTCATTGAAACCCTAGCTTGCCGGATTGAACATCATCAGAGTCCACTTTCAACTGACAAACAAAGAATAAGCAATAAAAGCAAAAAGGCCAATGATTAGATTAAACCAATTATGGAACCGGGAAAGGGGAAAAAAAAACATTGGAAGAGCTTAATAACTTACAAGATTAAGATGCTTCAAGAGAACCCCATGCAATAACTTTTTCAGCTTCTCACTTTGGTCAACCCTGTGGCCCAATTTTATTGACTCCCCGAGTAGGCACCACAGGCGCTCGATCGAAGTATATGGAAACCAAACAGCAAATGGCCTTTTACGACGGATGACATCAGCTGGTCGCTGCAGATATTTGCAAACATCTTCAAGTATTAGCAGNGGTTAAATGCAGCACAATCAGGGTTATCACCCATAGAACTACTACAACAGCCACAAGTCCATATCAGTATCAGTATCGAGTTCCATTATGTCAATTTTCCTAAACTATTTTGAAATGTCCTGCCAAACTGTCCACTACCAAGTACCCAAAGCAATTATATGTATCATACTCGAGCATTTAAAAAGCATCAAGAAATAGACAGGAGACAGAGATGCTTCAGAGGTCTAAAAGCCATGTTGAATAAATTTTGGACACAACTTACAACTGATGCCAAGCTTTCGGTGTGCTCAATCAATAAATTAATAGCCTCTGTGTATCGACCATAATCAACATATAGGCGGAATAGGGACGCTGGATTTGACTCATTCCCGCTCATTCCAAAGCTATTTTCACTACGATCTCCCTGTCATTATTTACGTGAACGATTAGAAAAGAAAAAAGAAAGGAAAGAAAATGTGTAATGCTGAGCAAACTATGAGATTTTTTACCAGCTCCAACATGCAATTAAAAACTTATATTTTGTTGCTAAACTAATCAGAATATATAACCCTCAACCAATCTTAGTGATTCCCATCACTTTAGAATAAAGAGAAAATATCCTGATACACAGAAATGACTACATCATGGTCATGTTCGCATTGAGTTCTGCAAACACTGCTAAATTATACCACGTATAATAAATTACATGATCACAGGGGAAGAGTTCCAAACAAATCACAGGCCAGCTGAAACATGAAGGGGAAAAAGCACACTAGACCACAATCATCCACCACCCTCTCGAGAACAACTCGTAGCAAGACAAAAAATAGTAATTCCAACAGCAGAAAGTAAATAACAAAACTTACCTTAAAGTGTCTAACCAACCAAAGTGGTAATTCAATTTGAGAATCGGCAGAAAGAAGAGTCCCAGCAACAAGTAATGGTAATCTGGGATGAAATGACCTGTATTTATCCTGCAACAACTAACCCAAGTAAGCCTTCGATAACATTATATGCATGAAAATAGAATAAGAAACAGCTTGAAGAAACTAAAGCTAATTCAAGTTTCTAAGACAAGCAACTTCCACCTCAGAAAAATTCAATTCATAAGCAAATTTATAAGCTGTAGCACAATTTTGTGAAACACAGAAAATATGAGAAGGGGAAAAGCAAACAAAAACTAGAAATAACAAAACAAAATAAAATAATTGCCTAGGGGGTGAGCCAAGATCAGGAAATTCAGATACCACTTTGATTTAAAATTTTACAGCTTATATGGATGACACCTACACTTGACATCGACACAATATTGCAAATGAAAGGAGTATATGACACAAGATGCCAAGTTACAAAGACTTTGGACTCAGTAGGAGATTCTAGTTTTCTTGTGATTTACTATTCAGTATTCAAACCTGAAAACACCATAACTAGTGCATTGGAAATTTCTACCTGTGGAACTGATAGGAGTGAGTATAGACCACATATGGCAAGTAGTTACTAATCCATATAAATTAAAGATGTTTGGGTTCAAAAAAAGCACAGAAACAGTATGTGGTCAAGGAAAAAATACCAAAAATAAGAAACATTATAACAAGTCATACAAGAAGAAAGCAGATGACCACAAATTAAAGAGAGTTATAAAAGGATATAGAAATATAACACAGCAATTACCAGCCTGATAGTACTACAAGTATAGAATCAATTTTTCTCTTTAGGCAGGCCAGAAAACTATTAGGGTCTGATTGGCTACAACTTAAAACTGGTTTTGACTGACCGGATATTTTTTTACACTAAACTCAAAATTCAACTCAAATTATTCAACTCAACCTCCTAAATATTATCAATAAAATTAAATAATGCCAATCTATCATCCTAACACATCAGCATCAACTTTAATTTCACCATTCATCCACTCACATATTTTTAACTATTCATTTACAATAATGTATCGTCTACTTTTACTTCACATAAACTTTAATCATTATATTTTAAATATATTTAAATACAAGTTTAAAATCACACTCAATCAACTTTTTCAAAATTAATTCGCTTTAACCAATAAATCCAATCAAAACCGGTTTTATTTATATCCAATCGCCCCCTTTGAGACTCCAATCCAATGTGGAACACAGTAGCATAGAAACAAGAGGGACATAAGAATTACGAACAAGATAGAGTTCAAGTGTTTCCCAGTGGCCACTTCCCACAAGCTGTGATGTTGCAGCTACATCAAGTGAATCATGAGAGAACTCTTGTGATGAAGTCAACAAAAGACCATGCATTTTACGATCGTTCCTGAGAAAAACAAAAGGTTGCTTTATAAGTAGAGAGAAATATGTCTGNACTGTTGGGATTCTACTCCTCTTACTAGTTGATTTATTTTGACGTGTAATGAGTAATGGGAAACCACTCTAGGACACTTGGATGACCTCCAATGTTTATACCTAGAGAATGTTGTCCATGCAGTTTGATTTTTTTTGGAAAAAATGGAACTCTCTAAAAAAAAAAAAAAAATAAAAAAAAATCAGAGCTTAGTGATAAATGAAAATGGAAAATAACCTTTTGAGAGCAGAACCCTTCCAAAACTTGAGGATCACCGTAAAAGCCATATCATAAGAATTTGATTCAACCAACAGATCAATAAGGTTGGCTGGGGGTTTTTCTTTTCCTGAAACATAAAGCGACAACGATAAAACAAAAAAGTGGGCTAACACTAGATCCTAGCAAGTAGAAGGAAGCGTAATTGCATCTAGTACTCTAGTTCTCTCAAAGTCCACATTACTTGTCAACACAAATCTCAGAATACAGCTTTAGTTGGAAGTTCAGATATATAGGGAAGATTCAATAAAGCAGTGGTGAAATTGGTCCCAGAACATCATATTCTGTTGGAGAAATTCTTACAGTAACGAGATACAAAAATGGAGAAAAAAAAATCTTGTAGATTAAGTTCTTCATGGAAGGTTAAATCTTGCCCCAAAATGCCCTGTGGCCAACACATGAAACCTTTATTTCGTGTTGGTTTTCCAATTTACAGCAGAAAAAGGATTCAATTGATGAGCCATTCCTAGCTGAAGTTTTTCATTGATAAATATGAATAGAAGGGACCAATATTGGCGCTTTCCCACAGTTATGGACCAATTAACAATTTTACTTTTGGAAAGGTTTAGTACAGAACTCAACTGAAGCACAAAATAAAACGATCGATAAGTGAAATCTAATTATTATAAGTAGCCATTGCATTTTATAAAATGCAATAGTAATCATAAGTAACCATAATTACCAGTAAAGCTCCACTTGATGTTAGCCAAGGAGAGCATATATTCTGCTGATGTTAAAACGAACTCCTTCTCAAGTTTCTCAACATCTAAATAAGATGTAAGATTCTGAGGCAAAGCATCATCAGCAGGACCTGATACAAAAGAGATGTAAAACATGATCACTGAGCGAGGAATATAAAAATGTAAGGGCATGCAAGATTGATCAAGGAATGTCGATTCATATTTGGTAAGATTTTGACACTCCAGTTAGGTGGATTTTCAACCAGGATAAATGAAATCAAAGACTAGTTTAAAGACCAAGATCACAAAATTGAAATTCTGTTTTAAGAAGTAAAATGAAATTATCAAAACAAGCCTTGTGGATTTCAAACCCTGAGCTCCAAGCCTCCAACTTTTTGTATACGGAAACAAACTTAAAAATTTCTTAACATAAATTCATTATGGAGGAATGAGAATGCATACTTTGCTCTTGTTTGGTCATCCTAGCCCTCTTATTAGGATGTTGTCTTTTATCAAGGGAAGTTTCATCAACTGGAACTTCAATCCACGCATATGAAGGATGAACAAGCTGCAAAGCATTAATCGCAGCAGATAGTCCATTCAGCCTGTCCTGCAGATTCGAAGACCTTGGTTGATCTTTTACAGCTGCGTCAGCTCTCAAACGGAAAGAATACAAGTACATATAAGTTGCCGCTCTACGCCAGTTGTGTCTGTGCATCTCAAAGGCATATAATAATTTGAAAGGGTTTGGCTTGGTGGAGATATCAGAACGCTCTGCCTGTGAAGCAAATGGTTGATAACATTAATATGCAAAGAGAGAAGTAACCTAAAATAGAAGGTTCCAACCCAGGGGTAAATCATCCGACCTTCCACACAAGCTCTTGCTCTACTTTTTCCACTAAACCAATCAATGGTAACTGGCCATCACAAATTATCTGAAAGTGTAAACAATTAATAATAAAAATGAGGTTATAAGACAGTATAACAAACTTTAAGATACAACTACAGAAACTCAAAAACTGTGCCGACAGATTGAAGATGAATTCCTACATTTTGGTCCAGTTAAAAAGAAAAAAAAGAAAGTAGAATAATAATTTCCCTATAGCCCAATACTATGAGTTTCTTGAAATCCAATTATCAGAAAGATGTGGAAGTAATTAAACAGACAGATGCAGAGAGGTTAATATTTTGAGAAAGAAATAGAATGAGACAGCAAGTGAAGAAGAGCCACTGAACCTTTACGGCACCACGCTCAAAAAGAACTATGATGAAACGCCTCAAACATATTGTCTTGTTTTCCTCATCTGGATTTGAAATTATGGCACAGTATGCGTCATGGTAATTATTAAGATCCAAAGTGAATTTAAACACGTTAGCCCAGAGTCTGCCCTTCACAGTGGTCACTGATTCTCCAAGACCCTCGCTGGAGCTGCTACCTATGGTGTCGAGAGCTTCATCAACTTGTTCAAGAGCAGCTAGAGCACATTGACAAGCAGCTTCACTCAAACCATACTGTTCAAATAGCTGCATCACCCATTGATAATAATGAAGCTTCCATGCTGCAGTTGAAAGGGAACTACCTGGAAAACAAGAACAATTGTATGAGACACAACAAAGACATTGAACTATTAAGCAAGCGGAGAAGTAAAGATTTCACGTAACTGAAATCAATTCGCAGCCATCCGGCTTCATGGGGCAAAGTTTGCAAAGCTTTCAAAGATACTTCACTTGATGCGGTCCTGAACAGACAGAAAAGTAGAACATCCTTTTATTTCTCATAACAGTTCTTACTTGCCATTCTAATTTACAGCTCCAAGGAAATTCCTAAAAAGTAACAACTTTTAATTGTTATCTATTTAAATGATCAATTGAATTAAAACAAAACAATATAGTTATACAAAACAAAATAAATGATGTCTCAGCATGGATGGTCAAATAAAAAACAACCAAATAACTCTTATAAATGGGCCTGGGTAGACTCATCCCAAAAAGCTGGTTCGGAGAGAGGGTCCCCAACCCACACTTACACACAATAACAACCCAGTAACTAACCGATGTGGACAAACATAACTACCAACACACCCCCACACACGCATCATGCCAATCCAAATAGGTTTGATCCAAACACAACATAGCCTCCAAACAAACAAACTTGGGTGATACCATGATAAATGGGCTTAGTAGAACTCATTCCCATAAGCTAGCTCAAATGGAGAGGGTGCCCAACCCACTTATACACAACAACAGAATTAATAACTAAAGTGGAACAAATATTACTTATAACAGCCCAACTTNCGAATTATGCACCAAAACTAGAATAATAATGTGAACATGTAAAAAGATAAGCAAACAATAGAGATGAATCTACAATTTTTTCAATTATTTTGGACACCCAAACTATGATAATTACTTTTCGTGAATGTGAAACCAGAAAATGTGTACCAGAAACTCTACCTGAAAAAGCAGCGAAGCGCTTCCCCAACTTTACTTCCTTTAGTTTTTTTACTCAATCCATGTTGTGTCTGAGCAACAAGACAACATCCAAGAAGATGGAGACGTAAAGACAATTTTCCATCCACAGCATGAAGGCTTTCAAATGTCTTCTCCTTGTGTGAATATGCATCCACCAACATAAGCAAATACTGCAACAGGAAAAGAGCGGATTCTCTTAACTATTTCAGCAAAGTGCTGAACATAAAGGCTAAATAGTAATGAAATATAGAACAGAAACCTCAGCGGCATTATATTGGCCATGTCTAAGTAAGACTATTGCAAGATCAATGGAATTGCTGAAGAATACAGAAGATTCTTCTCCACTTCTCCCCCAAATAATCCAGCTGGTGAACTCCCTACTTAAATTAATTAAGCTGCTGGGATTAGGAAGACGACTGAGAGACAGGTTCTCCATGTCTGAGGAACTTTGCATGCTCAGTAATAAGATAAATGCCAAAGAAAAGTCAGATTTTCCAAGCCTCTCACTCCACAATCTGTTATCTGCATTGCTATCTGACAAGGATAACAGAAAGCAAGAAAAAAGACACAACTAAGGTATAAGCGTAGCTGTACAAACATCAAATTGAAGACAGTGAGACACACAAATCAATTCAGCTGCATGAATATCCAATTCTACATTCCAATTCCAATCAACTCCTGTTTTGTGCTAATTCAGGCCAAACGTTGACTATGAAGCTTAAAATGTCACTAACAACTAATAAATATGCCTATTGCAGAGAGATTTCTCAAACATTTGTTTTTCTTATATTCACTTCGTGTACAGGACTGTATCAGAAATACAATGCACACCATAATGAACTCATCAAAGAATGTGTTGTTGTCATACCAATATGTAAGGATGAAAGCCGATAACTGAAATCTTCAATTGCAGGAGATTCGGATGGTGTGGTCCCAAAGAAGCGAATAATATGCCATTCTGTTAAAGTTTCTTGAATCATTGGAATTAACTCGAGTTTGACTCTTGAGACATCAGAATGTGACATGTTAATCTGCAAAAGAACGAAATAAATTGTTTTCTCACACCATAGGTCCATAATAGAACTGCAACTCAAGTTGTGGAAGTTGCAAGGTGGCATGCAGGTATGTGGTAATAAACACAGCTCTAGTTAGGGTGGAATTTAGATCAATAAGAATTAATGATCTTTTCAGGATAGACCATATTACTAAAGCTATGCATGTCACAAACACCTAAGCGCTATAGAGATTTTAGAGTCCACTTCTATTTCTCTATTACAATTGGGTGGGAAAATCTTTTATATTCTCATCATAACTCAACACAAAACGAAAGTCTAGTAACCCAAAAAAGGAATGTTAAAAAATTAAAATTTTCTCCAAGATTACCAGATACATATGTATCATTAGAAAAATTGCATCTGAACACATAGATGGCATTAATGAAACAAAAGGCTTCATACTGCAAGGAAATGAGTCTTTTCCTCCCATATCACAATGTACAAAATTTTAGTAGAAAAAGAAAAAAGATACACTCGCTGTCTAACAATGAACTTGGTTCAAATGATAAATGTTTCTCTTGCTACTTCAGAATTTTTTTGTATAATAAAATTGGAACGATTCAAGTACATAAGGACATGTATGCTTCAAAGGTTATCCACATATATTATAAAACAATGGCTGTTACCGCAGCTGCATTGTCAAGGGTTTATTATACATGATACTGAAATAGATAGAGAGGAACTTATCTTCATGCACTAATTAGACTATAACTTGGTACATTATGAAAGAGATGAAAAGGAGAAAAATAAAAAAATCGAAAGTGACCCATCACCAATCACTTTTTTTAGTTCGTGTAGTTCAATGCAACTCACCTGTCCGCTGATGCTAGTCATATAGCTTAGCAGCATCAGAACATCCAACACAGATTCAAACATCACTTTGGCAATTTGGAAAGTCGACTGCACAATCCCATAAGCATTAATATGGAATATCGCTTCAGCATTCGATTTGAGCACAACTTTCCGAGGCACTAAAACCTTTAAGTAGCTCTCAATCACATCCAAAACTTTGCCCCAAGAGTTGGCTTTATTGCACATTTCTTGAAAGGACAGAAACATATTTGTTGAGAATTTTCTTAAGTTTCTGTTACTCGACAATTCTTTTCCCCAAACAGTATTCAATCCAAGTTCTGATAATAGCTTAGGTTCAGTTGTATAACTATATGCACTTTCCAATATCTTTAGAAATCGAGAAACAACTTCATCTGATGATATATGAGGTGTGTTAAGAAGTGACTCATAAAATATAGCTGATGAAGCTTTTCCTAACTGCTTGCTCACACTCTGAAGACATTGCAGTAACTCAGATAGGATCGTCCTACTAAGATCATCACCCGAGTAAAGTAATCCAGGGCTCATATACCTGTTTTGTTCCTCGAAAGAACCTGGAAGAAGAGAAAGTACAGTAAATTATGCATTGAAAACAATTGTAATTTACATAATAAACAATTAGGTGTACCATAGAAAATATGCTCCACTTCCTCCATGCCGCGGCAGAGAGAGATTGTGTTGTTCCTGACTAAACCAATAGCACTTGTTAATGGATCTACTAGCAGACCACATACTGTATTGTATTTACACCAATTATCCACATATCGCGAGCAAAATGACTTCCAACATTGAAGAATGCATCCACCCTACAAGAAAATATCAAGTTCCCATTACTTAGTACCCATTACCTCTTACAACAAAATAAATTGGAAAAATGGCACAACAAATGCCACTACTGTAGTAGCAACAAAAACCAGTAGTATGCTGATCCAGTTCTACCAATTGAACTACTACACTTGCCATACTAGCCAGTATGGCCACTTGACATTTTTTTGTGTCAAGGCAACTCTATAAGGTAACCAAGCAATTCTACAGGTCCTTCATTTATGTGAAGTTCAAAGTATGAAAATATTCCCAAGATAAAAAATGTAGCATCATAAAAATGAATGACAAGAATACGTCGCGGACAGTATATTAGTAAAATTAAAAAGGAAAACAATGTCTATAGAATAAAGCTCTTCAAAATGATCAACCACGCAACAAAGTTACCTGATGCTCGATCAGTGACAAAACTTCACTTTTCAGACCATCAAGAGTTAAGGAACTAAACTCTGATTCTGTGAAGTGCTTGTTATACTCTCCTAAAGTTCGTCTCAGAACAGCATTGCAGTGAACCCCAGGAGTAAGCAATGCACGCAAAAACACAGAAGATACAAACGGGGCAACTTCCTCCTGCACAAAACGGATACTTTCAACATGCATACACAGTTGAATATTAGTGAATGTATAATATACGTCAGGAGTATAACTCCTTACTCCTAAATAAAAAATATACTATGATCTGTTTTCAGATAATGAATAAATAACATATCAAAGAAATCGGTCAACACAACTCATTACGTGAAGAATAGTTGCCACTGTAAAACTATGGAAATATGAAGTCCCAACGGGATGACAGATGTTACATATAAGAATAGATCAAACAAGTTCATTTCATTTTGCACAAGAGCAAAAAAACAAGTCATTTCATTTGGCACAACTCACGAAATTCTATTTCACTAGATGAAGAAAAATTCCATAAATCTACAAAATTTCAGAGTCTAATATCTTCTCAAAAACAAAACCCACACTGCTTCCAATGACATCTAAACTAAAACAAAATTCATGAATAGCGCACCTTTGAAGCCGAAAATACCGAATACGCAAGGCAAAGAAGATCATCTGAAGAATGCTCAGAACTCTGAAATAGCATATCAGCAATAAATGATTCTTGCAGAGTATAGTAATTTGTGGATTCCCTAAAACAACAAGAATGAGCATTAGCAACTCTTAAGCATAGAACAGGTCAATCTAACCATTCAAGCAAAAATTGATAGAAGAATAGATAAATTTACTAATGTTGCATAATCAATTTAATCTGGACTATCCTATAACAAAAACAGTGAGCAGATTCATGAGGTCCGAAAATGTCAAGTCATCAATAAGAATTTCCAAACGAGTAGATGTATGAAAATTATCCAGAAGAATACACAGAAAGAAGAATCTCATATTATTTGTTTGATTCTCAAAAGCAGGATTTTGGCGGAAAATGTTTAGTTAACATAAAACAAGAGAACAGCATTTGCAAAGTATTAACATAGTAACTTACTCCATGGTGTTATTACCAAACAAGTCCTTCATCATGAGCACCTCTTCCTTGAGAATCCACACATTGCTCGATGTGAACTTGACATCAATACATCCACCCTTGAAAAAAATCAGGAAGCAAATACCATGTGATGCCCAGGAATAAACTGATTACAATTGACTAACAGTACAGCATAAAGTAACTCATGTATTTACCTCCCCTATGAATAGTTTTTTCTGTGAAGGCTCCAGAGACAACACAATCCGGTCTCCCACATGGCAATGAAGGTCGTATAGAAAGATTGTTTCTGTGTCAACTTCCTTATCAATTACCAGAAGAGAAATGAGTAAATATTCACGTTAGACTTCCAATACTATGACACAATGGAACAGAGTCGATTGGAAAAATTGAGCAAAAAATCAAAAAACATCTAATTGCTAGACATATAAACATTTTGGGAGCTACCCAAAAAATATATACTTCGTAATATTTACTCTTTCTAAAAATGCAACAGGCATCTTCTGCATATAAAGTTGCAACATCGTAATGAAACCTTGGGAAGAAAAAAAAAATACAGATATATCAGGATTGACAAGTTGACCACACAGGAAAGTTGGAAGGAGAACTCCTTAACAACCACTCACCGAATTCTGTTTATGTAGCATTGCAATTGGAATTAATCCGGTATCATTGCTAGCTTCTCCTACCCAAACCCTAAAAAATGCACCTGTAAGTTATGTGAATGAATATCAGGTTAGTTGTCACACCATTGCAAATTATTATAAAAAACTTGATAGAAACAAGCCCCATTTAAATAATTTCATAGAGAAGAGTTACAACAATCTGTTTTGATCACTACACGAATGGTATCTGCACACACCTCCCAACAAGAATGTAGATCAAACAAACAAACGAAAAAACAGCATTGACAGGTCATATACCAAAATCAACTAAGAACCGTTTCTTGAAATAAGAAATAGATATATTTGGCAGGAAAAGTTACCAAAAGCCATGTTGACCATAGGGTAACAGTTCAGATATTACTAATGTCTGCATCTTCCAATGTTATTAAGCAAAATAAATAAGCCATAACCACAACGGTAGTTGACGAAACATTTTAATAAATCCAACCCAACTAACCCCTCCATTTTCCATTTTCACGCATTTATTGCAGTATCCTTAGTATAGAAAAGAAAATAAGAGGACAGGACAGGTACTCAATAATCTGGACATCTCTATTCCATATCATGTTTCCTCTGAGACAGGAAGAAAACTTTTTCAAGGTCCAAAGTGATATTATCATTCTTTATGTCACAGCATCAATCTATCAGCTACACACTGATGGCATGCATAGAATCTAACATTGATTAAAAGCGAAGCAACAGTGATCATTTGTAGAATATCTATAAATGTCCATCCACGTGAAATCCATAGATAAGAAGGATCGTTTATCTACCAAAATGATTAGGAAATGTGACTGGCTAAGTATCGGAGAAATCGCCCTATTTATTTTTCTTTGACCTCAAATAGTTCACATGCATACAAACTTTGTTTTACGGATAAAGAAATATAACATTGTCCATTGCAAATGGAGCTGGAAGAGTCATTGTTGACAATTCTCCTGGCATAGTGCTAATAATGGACTAGATCAAAATGGCTCAATTAAATTCCAGTGCTTCTTCTATTAGTGAAGTTTCTAGAAAAAAAAAATATATCAAACGGCGCAATGCACCTTGAGTCGCTACGGAAACAGCCTCCTTGTATAATTACAAGGGTAAGGTCTGCGTACAACTGACCCCCCAGACCCCAACCTGTTGGGAATATACTGGGTATGTTGTTGTTGTTGTATAAAGAAATATAAGAAAAGTTTGATGCATAGCAAAATGAGCAAGAGAATTATAAGATTTTAGCATCAAAAATTGAAAATTCTGCATATCATAAAAATCAATTCCATTATGTGACTAGGAAATTGTTAAACAATTAGAATACTTGCCTGCCAATGTTTCGACGGTAATTGCATGACTGAAAATTTTACAGCGACCTAAAAGGTCCCAAACTCGAAAGTTCCCATCAGAATGAAGCACAAACAGAAGCTTTCTCTGATGCACCTCTGATATCACCAAATCCTGTACAGCGGCCAGATTTGGGTTCCTAAATGACAATCCATATATAAATACAGTATTCGAACAAAAGTATGCATTCAACTAGAGGCATAAACCCAAAAAATATAAAATAGGAAAGGTTTAATCTGTCGGTCTTTGCTTTCCGTTTGTTTCCAAATTCTTCATCTCACAGCTGAAGTTCTCCAACAAAATAAAACCACAGTGATGCAGGATAATTATAACATATATTTCAATGAAGAGAGATAACCACAAGAAACCATCAAAGTGAAATCAACTACAAAAACTTAATCCCGAGTATTACCAGACACAAGCATATCCACATTTTGCTTCTGCTTTACTATGTAGCATTTTCAAAGTCAGTTCAAATTTAGGCTTCATCTTTTTTTCATTACTTAAATTTCTGCAACCTTCATTTATATCTGCAAACATATGCAACTAGCAAGTGACATGTTATCAAAAATAATAACCACAACTTTACACACAAGAACATCTTTCAGGCAGCTGGTCAAGAAAAACATGAAGATGATGGCTAAAATCATCATTGAAGACGATGAGACAGCATGCAACTCTCCTGATAATTGTGATAAAGGCCTAACTGGAAAACAGGGCTCTAGCAGTCATTCAAAACTCTCCAAATATGAACAGACTACACTAACACCACAGGGAGGACTGCCTATCTAAAGAGAAAAGGAAAAGATAAGAATATTGATGAGGTATAACCCAAATTACATGCCAAATAAGTACAGTGTTAATTTGACCAAAGCCCGTGGGAGAATTCGTGATTATTGGGACTAGTAAACATAAGGCGCTGCACCACAAAACTGGAATAGTCGTCATAAAAATCTGTAAATACCAACCCATCCAAAAATTAAAAGGTAGGCTATATTTACTCCAGCTTCGAATCAATTGAATTTCATTTGTCTAGCTGACTTACGCATCTGAGGCACTTCCCTAGGACAACCCAAGGGCCACCTCTAATGGTTTGCTGTCAGGAACCCCTAATTAAATTCATATTTTGCAGCTGCATTCTGGCCATTTATCAGAAAGTTGTCGGAAAATTGAGAATTAAAATATGTTTTCGATAAGCAGCCACGTGCTGTTATGATTTGACTAAACAACATGGACCAACATTCATCATTAAATTTTCATGTCATAAATAATTCATGATCTTGCTTTTCAAATTACCAATCACTTCTCATCACTATTTTACTAAGAAAGCCATCAAATCGACAATCATTTCATTTTAATATCATATACAAAGTTCCAAAGTCCAAACACATGTTGAAGTTCATTCTCATTTCTCTTAACACCACCTTCACACTACATATGAGTGAAGCGGAAGGTCAAGATATCAGTCCCTCACACACCTTGAAAGGGTTGTAGCTAACGACAAATTCAGAAATGAGAAAGTTATGAAGTCAGGTTTCATGACTTTGAAAGCTAAAAATACCTTGACAACATTCCCCACAATCGACTAAACCCAGGATCATCTCGCAAATCAAACGCAAAGCCTACAAATAAATTCAGGAAGAGTATCAAGATGTATACTGATTACTGAAGACTGCATCACATACGGAAACAAGATTGTATCAAATACAACCTGAACTCTAGTCATTTGATTATTTAACATTCAGAAGTTCACACCTCATAATTGCTACAAGCCTATAAGAGATTCAAGTGACTAAAAAAATATTGAGAGAAACATGAAAATTGTGAAACACAAAAAAATTGACATGACCACATATAATTGACCTGGATGGCTGCAGTCAAGTACGCCCATCTGGAGACAACCAATTGATCCATCATGCCTTCCAATCAACAAACACCCTGATGTTGCATTAACAGCGGTAATTGCTCCACACTGAGGTGAAACTTGTGTATTACACTCCAGAATCTCGTCAGTAGGGACAACAGAAGAAGTTCCGTAGTCAAAATTGTTCCTTATATGGATGAGGTAAGCGATCCCTGAGACCGTCAAAGTATATAGCATCAAATTATTTCCAGAAGTAACCTTGCTCTGCACATGAAAGAAAGAACTATGAGTTAACAACATAATTTGCCTCTGGAAATTAGAAAAATCAGTAGACAACCCAGAATAAATCGTTGAAAATTAGCAAACCTCATCTTTGCATATAAAAGCAAATGGATGTAAAGCGTCAGCAAAAATGAGCCGAAGTCCAGTTCCAAACATTTTCTTATGACTACAAAGTTCTAGAATCTCCAGTACATTTGTCTGACTAGCGCTGATTTTCCTGTGTCGAGAAAGTTACACGTAACGAAGTCAGCATTGCAAAGATATTACTGAGAACGAATATGTTCAACCACAAATCTGAGACTGAAAAAGAATCTCCACAAGAGGATAAAGCAATTAGCTAAGATATCCTCCATCATGCATACAATTCATTTTCGTCCAATATTTGTAGCATTTAAATATAAATGGAGCATGTATCCATAAGAAAAATGAACTTACTAATATTTGCATCATTAAGTAACCAAGTTAACATTCAACAATCTGTATATCATCAAAGATCCAAGTTATCGACATTCAACAATTAGCATCCATGACTTCCAAAACAACAATGCCAATGGCTTCAACGAGTATCTCANCATTTCATGTTTTTAGGACATGGGTCCCAAAAATATTAAGAATATTCGAGCAAAGCAGTAGGTTTCTCTGGACACTGTGTTATGGGAGGTTTGGTGCAATGTGTGGAACTGGAAGTTATAATGTAGAATATAAACTGACAATGGGGACTCTTTGACAGTCAGAGTCGCTGGGGGACTCTAACAGTCAAAGTCGCTCGGAGACTAAATGGATTTGTTATTCAACAAGAGACAGAGACATGCATGAAGGTGATGCATTAATAAAAAATGACTTGTGCCCAGCGAGCCAACTAAGCTGCATCATTCAGTCTTAGTACCTAACTGCTCCGACTAGAAAAACTACCTAGACTGCAAAGGGGAAACTCATAATAAAATAAGAACCCTCAAGCTGAGATGTGAAAACAGTAACTACCCTTTAGTTACTGATAAACATAGTCCAGTTAAAAGAAGAGACATGTAGGAACAAAATGCATATGCAGAAAACCACAATCAAGAAGAGAGATAGAGAGGGGTTACACATTAGAGGTTAGATTACCAGATGAAATAAGAAGGGGGATCTCCGATAACGCAGCAAGAGGCATAGTCATTAGCAAGTGACTCGTTAGAAGTGTTCGCTGAGGATGCTAAAGAAGACGAAGGGACGGAGAGTTGACGCCACTCGACGGAATCAGTGCTGAGCAGCGGCACCTCCATTCCGGTCATGCGCCACTCACTATTGGTCCCCATGGCCATCGCCGGCGTGAAGTTGCCACTAATTGTGGGACCTTGAGGAACGAAAACCAGGCTAATGAAATTCCACCTGAAGTCGAAGCGGACAGAGAGAGATGGGGAGAGAGAGCAAACCGGGCTGAAGCAGGGTTTTAGGGTGGAATTGGGAGGGGGAATTTTTAGGGGTTTTCTTTTATCGATAGTTAGTGGAAAGTCGTGTTTGGTTGCCTTGAAGTTGAATTGTGCTTTTATTTTTCATTTTTATGAATCAGTCTTGACCCAATTTAGTTTATAATAAGGATTGGGTAAAATTATTTTTCACTCCGTCATATTAAGTTTTTCGCTTTTTCCTTTCCCTCAAATAAATCAATTTTTTCACCCCAGAAAATATAAAAGTTATGCGAATGGTCCGCATAACTGTTGCAGTTCAGCTTTTTTCACCCAGAAAGTGCGAAAGTTATGCGTATGTCCTTGCATTTTTAACTTTCGCACAATTGTCATATATATCACATAATGATTTTCACATTTTATGGATGAAAAAGTTAACTTATCAGTCAACGAAACTCATTAGTATAACTTCAGGACGTGGAGAAAATAGCTATTTACTCAAGAGATAAGAATTTGTGTGCTCATTTATATACTCTTAAATCTATAAAAATGAAGCATTTCCCCAATTGACATTGTCTCGTTGCCTTCAAAACGACGTCATTTTATGGCCAAAACAACAACGTTTCACATTTGGCAAAAAACGACGTCGTTTTATCTAGATTCTGGGGTGTGAGTTATTTTTTCTTCACTCGTCATCGAATGAACCCCTAGATGCGCTCCAAGTTTCTCCTCCTCCATCGCGAGAGACAAAATCTTGTGAGTCCCCCCACCCAAAGAACCATAATATTAAAAAGGAAAAAACACCAAAATCTTCGGTTTTCTTTGATACGATTGTCGGCAGTCGACGAGCAGTTCATGATGGAGCTCTTCACAAATGGCGTGCCCAAACCCTCCGAAAATTTTTGCACTGGAGGTGATTTTACCATCGAAAAAAGCAGCGACTGCAAGTAGATCTATGGTGCTAAGGTCATCGACGATAGTCCAAAATCACACGATGTACTAGTGTAATTCATCAGCCAAATATCAATTGAATCAAAATCACACTACAGTCTTTCACAACAGATGGTTCAATTATGTCTAGGTTGTGAATCAATTATTTATATATTTTACAAGTAACTGATAATATGATTTTTTTGTTCCGACACATCGAACCATACTATCTATAATGTAAAATAAAGGAACTTATGCTTGCATAAATAAATAAACTGTAAACACAAATACTTGACTAAAACACAATTATCATTCAAAATGGTAATGTCAGGAATTGAAAGCTGAGCTTTTACACTATACCCTAACAAGGCGGACCCAGTCAGGTGGCACCTTCGACAGTTGATATGTAGATTACGTCCCTAACTTGGAATGCCCGTGGCCTGGCAAATAGGGCCAACCTCGCTCACATCCATTCTCTTGTCCGTGATCATAGGCTCTATTTCGCCGCTCTCCTCGAGCCCATGACCCCTACCCATTCTTTTGACTTCTATCCACGCCGTCTTGGTTTTTACTCTGGCGTGGGAAATACTTCGAATAAGATTCGGTTCTTTTACTCGTGTGACTACACTTGTCGGATCATCAGTGATACCGAACAGGTGCTGCACGTCGATCTTTCTACTGCCCACCTCCCTGAGCCCATCTTTCAAACTCTCATTTATGTTAGTTGTACGAGGGTCTGGCACTACAGTCTTTGGGACACCATGCGTGAGATTGCTGAGAGTATAGAAGGATTACCGTGGATGGTTTGCAGTGATTTCGACATCTTTCTGCATCCCGATGAGCGATTTGGTGGTTGTTCGGACTGTTCAGATGAGATGTGGAATTTCACTCCGGCAGTGGCGGATTCCGAGTTAATTGATGCCGGTTGCGATAATTCCCTCTTCACTTGTGAACAGACTAGAGTCAATGAGAGGCTCGATCGTGCTTTGATCTCTTAGGCATGGATGAGAGTGTTTGCAGTTATGACCGTCACGCACCTCACTCGAATTAAGTTCGACCATGCTCCCCTTCTCATCCAGTGTTTATTCTCGAGCACCCCTTGCCACTCTTCTTTTTGGTTCTAGAACACGTGGATTCACCCCCACTTTTTCTATGACACTATCAGGGCCTCCTGGTTGCAGCTGACTGGGCTCTTCAGAATGCGCAACCTGGAGGCCAAGCTTGGGAGACTGCGGCGCAGACTGGGGCAGTAGTATAGGGATGTTTTTGGAGACCTCTCTCAGCGCCTTTCTGCGAATTAGAGTGCGTACGCGAATGTTGAGCGGGCTTATGATTTGGAGTCCACTCCGGAGAATAGGACCACGATGCGCCGCTGCCATGTCGAGTACCAGCTCTGACTCTTTATGTAAGAGGATTTCCAGAAGTAGAAGGTTGTCTTGCCATGGGCTGCTGAGGGAGAACACAATACTAATTACTTTCAGAGGTTTGTGAGGCAGAAGCGTATCAGGTCGTATATTTACAGTATCGAGGACAACGGGTCACCCCCGACTCAAGAATCCCAGATACGAGAGTCGACCATGGCGCACTTTCAATCTCTCTTCACCTCTAACAGGGATTTTCTTACGCCCCACATTGCTACTTTCTTCCCCACCATCCCTTAGTCGGTCGACCAACCTTTTTAGTCTTTGTGAGCTCCCAAATAGGGAGGAGGTTAGGGAGACTGTTTTTGGGATTAATCCCAATAGCGTCTCTGGCCGAGATGGCTTCTCGCCTCTCTTCTATCAAGCCTACTCGGAGCTTGTTGAGACTGATGTCGAGGAGGTTGTGTTGGATTTTTTCTCTGGTCACCAGATGTCAGAGTCCTTCACGATTACCTCAGTTGTCTTCATCCCAAAAAGACCTTGTCCCGAGCTCTTGGTCGGATTACAGACCTATCAGCATCTATAACGTGGCCAACAAGCTAATTTCCAAAATTCTTAACGAGCGCCTTGCCCCTCTTCTTCCTTCTCTCATCTCTCCGAACCAAAATGGTTTCGTCAAGGATTGGGTCATTAGTGATAACATCTTTTCTGGCCCAGAAGTTGATCCACAACATCTCCCCATTTGAATCGGTCGTGAGTCCTGAACTTTGCGCAGAAGCTAGACATGGCTAAGGCATATGATAGGGTCGAGTAGCTGTTTTTCTAAGAGGTGCTGGCCTGTATGGGATTCTCGGAGCAGTGTGTTAGCTTTGTGGAGGCGTGAGTGGAGCACTGCACGTTTTCGATTCTAGTTAATGGCAGCCCCACCGACTTCTTCTCTTTTTCTCGGGGCCTCCAGCAACGGGACCCCCTCTCCTCCTCACTTTTTGTTCTAGCGGCGGACTACCTCTCTCGCTGTCTTAACGCCTTCATCCGCGATACCCCGAGGATAAACTACAACACTCGTGGTTATGGTCCTCCTATCTCCCACCTCTTTTATGCGGATGACATCATTATCTTCACCCGTGGGGATGATGATGGGTTGGTCGAGCTTTTGCATCATTTGGAGTGCTATGGCGATCACCGATCAGCTCGTCAGTTTGCCGAATAGCACCTTCATCATCTCCCCTCCCATTGCGGACAGGTGGGCACAACAAGTCCATGAGCGTACAGGTTTCGCACGCGGCGACCACCCCATCACCTACCTCGGCGCGCCTCCGTACAAGGGTCATCTCACGAGAGCGCTCTTTGCAGACATCAGGTAGAGGATGATTGAACGGATCTTCAGCCGGTTGCATGGACATCTTTCATTTGGGGGTCGGCTTGTGTTGATCAAGAGCACCCTTAGCGCCCTTCCGTTTTATCTCTTTATGGTCCTCAAACCCCCTAGATCCACTCTCTATAAGCTAGATCATATCATGGCCCATTATTTCTGGGGACACAGGGACGACTTCTGGTGGGGGAGACAGTATTATTGGCTGAAGTGGGACTCCATTTGTCGGCCTTTTTTCGAGGGTGGCCTTGGGATCCGCCGCTTATCGGACGTAGTCATCGCCTTCTTTTATAAGATTTGGTGGCGTTTCAGAGAGGGAGAGACGCTTTGGGCTTAGTATCTTCGCGGGAAGTACTGTCCCAGAGATGTCTGTCATCCTTGTAAGGTGACGTTCACTGATTATGATTGTAGACAGTTGAGACGGCTCACCAGGGTAGGTAAGCATGCTAGGAGCACATCTTTTGGACACTGGGTGAGGGAGATGTTAGATTTTAGGACGAATGATGGTTTAGTGAAGGGCCCCTTTCAAGCACTAAGCAGGTCACTCACTCCCCTTACCTGCAAGTGAAGGACTTGTGACCCGATGGATGTGGATAGGGACAGGTTAGAGAGGGAGTTAGGTATTGAAGCGTTTTAGTGACCACCCATTAGAGAAGTTCCAGCAAATCCCTATCTCGGAGGATGGTTCAGACGGTATGGGGTGGAGACTTACTTATTCGGGTGTATTCTCTAGAACCTCGACTTGGAAGAAAGTACGGCTGGGTGACTGTCCTAACCTTCTCTTTGGGGCCATTTGGACTAATCAGCTTACCCTGACCATCTCTGTTTTCCTTTCGCGCTTTCTTCTGTGCTGGATTTCGATCGACTATGTGCTGCAGGTGAGAGGGATTTCTTTTTCTCGTGGTGTTACTGTTGTGCTGAGATCGATGATTTTCAGACTAAGACTTTTCCACACTTGTTTTTAGAGAACGAGGTTGCAAAGAGAGTGTGGAGCATTTTTCCACTTATACTCATATACCCTACCCACTACAAACAATTTATTTGTGCTTCTGAGTTTTTTCTCACAACACACATACACTTTAGACATGTGGGCTTCTTCATTCCTTGTCTAATCATGTGGTTTATTTAGAAAGAGAGGAATAGTGCGAAGCATAGGGATATTACTTTTATGTGCTCTCACATTATTTTGCAGGTCGATCGTCATCTCTCCCTCCTCACAGTTCTGGACAAACTCACGCCTAGAGACTGGACAAGTTGTACGCCGCCCCCCATTTCATACCATCTCCGTTGTCGCCTGTCGAGCACCCACGCCCCATAGTTGTTGTTTGGTCAAGACCCGTGTTGATATCAAATCCAGTAACAGAGATTGAAGATGGAGATTAATCGTATTATTGAAGAAATAATTTCGCAAGAAAGTAAACTTACTACAAGTCGGTATGTATTGGAACAAATTACCGACTTCTGAAGAATTACCGACTTTCAAAGATCCAACTTTCAAAGGTCTTCAAAAAGAACCGTCTTCACAAAGAACCGACATCTAAAGCCAACACAAGTAAACCGGCTTACAATTCAACCGACTATCACGAAGTTTGAATATTCCAACAGAAAGTAATCATTAGAAGCATCTGATTGGACCAACAAAACAAAAAGGCAATCATTGATGTTTCCCGCCGCCTCAAAGTGAAGCAGCTCAATATTAAATGCATCTCTATCCATTTCAAGGAAGAGGACAAAAACCACCGTACTATAAATAGCAGAATTTATGATAGTACGAGGATCTTTTTCGAACACATTGTACATGGACTTCCAATGATCTCGGTTTTCAACACATAACCGACTCCTGTACTCTTGTGAATATAACGAATAAAATCAAATTGAACGTTTATCTTTATTTTCTTGACATCTACTGCGTTTAATTTAGAGTTGTTAATTCAAAACAACAACAGTTTGGCGCTAGAAGAAGGGCTTAGCTCCTCTTTTTCTCTTAGTGATTGTTTTGTCTTGTATACAACGTACCCAAAGGATGTCGAATTATGGGCGAAATGAACGTAATCCAGATGCTGGAGTTAATCGTC